AAAAAAAAAAAAAAAAAAAGATTCTTTTTACGAATTATAAGATAATTTTTAAAAATAGAAACTTACATATTGTTATATAAACAAAATTTTTTGTTATAAATTAGATATCCAATAATAAAATGAAATTTTGTTACAAAATGTACAAAATGAAAGCATATGGGTAGTATTCACATAAAAACATATTACCAAAAGGTTACGCAAAAAAGAATGGTTAAATTCCGGATTACGCTTGATTACCCTTACCGCATCCTAATTCTGCATTTTGTGACGTAGTAGGGACATTGGAGGGTATTGAGGATATTGGGGGATCGGCCGTAGTAATAACCTCTGAGTTGACGCTGAGTTAATAAATTTTTTTTAGCGTGACGTAATAAACATGGTCTTTGGGGTAAAATTAAATGACGTCATTAATATCGTGATAATTTCAAGTTTTTAAACAGGTTTTTTTGTAAAAAAAAAGAAAAATTCGAAACATTTGGATCCTTGTACAGAGTATTATCTTCAAAGAATGAACTTTTGGTAACGAAGGAGAAGTTTTAAAAAAATCAAAACGGAAAAATCGGTTTTCACCTTATTGATGAGTCATAAAACGTCCATTGTTGGCCGATGTCGTTTAAAAATTGTGTGGAGTAATAAAAAGAAATGTGGAGTAAGTATTCACTTTAATATTCACTGACAATAAACCGATATCCAGTTTATCCGTTAATTATCCCCTTTTTTTAATTTGTTTTCAAAAAAAAGGAAAGAATGATGAAAATTATTAAATTTTGAAACAATTTGTGTCAATGATAAATAAATATTGTTTAAAATACATTTTTAGCACAAGATGATGTGTTTTATACTTTTAAAACTAAAGAAGTTTTAAAAAAAAAAAAATTTTATATTTTTATATATTTTTAATAATAAAGATAAAAATAAATTTGAAATATCATTGAGCTTTGATAAATTTAAATTCATACTTTTTTATTTATTTCATAATTAAAATATCGGAAATTGAACATTATTTTTTTTTTTTTAATTTTCTCTTTAGAGTTTCATTAAAAAAGTAAATTTTCTAAATAAGGATACACTTTTCTTTTTTTCGTCTTTTTTACCAAATAATCTTTAATAGAATCCTTGTACAAAAGGATTGTGTTTGTTTTTGTACGAGGGTAAATTTGACGAATTAATCAAAAAGGTAAACTCAATATAATTTAACATTCGTATTGGAAGGGAACTATTGCCCTTAATGCTCTCCTACTTAATGATACTTTAAGTAGTAAAATACAATGACTGTGAAGGACAAAGGATAAGTTATCATTTCAACAATGATAGTAAAAAAAAAGGATGAGATGAAATCTTTTACACAAATTTTCACAAATTTTCACACAATTTTCACTTTGGAAAAAAAAAAAATGATTAACAAAAATATTACTGCACTCCTGATATGTACGCGCCATTTAAAATTTTATCTAATATTAAAAATAGAAAAGAATTCTTTTATTCTTTTCTTCTTCTTTATCATTATTATTTAAAAGTTTAGCCAATTATTGAAGACCATCGAATATTCTTGTAACAAATAATATTCATCAACTATTTGTTTATTTTTAACATCATAATACGGTCTTCTTAGTTGATATAAAATCTCTTAGCTGACATAAAATAATTACAAATTAAAACAAATCGAAATAAAAATAATTATAAAATAACGGATTAAAATAATTTAAAATTTTTTTTTACATAATTTTTATAAAAAAAAAAATAAAAAATATACAAAAAAGAATTGACAGGTTTAACCCCTTAATTATTTTTTTCTTGCACAACATTTTAAAAAACAATTAATATTATTTTTTTTTTATAAGAAAATCATAAAATTTGATTTAATTGGTCGTTGTTAAAATTAATATTTTTAATAACAATATTATCAAATAAATTAAATGATAAATATTCATTTTAAATCGGTAATAGGATTTTTGCATTATTGTTTGTTTGTTACGTTTACAGTTTTTTTTCAAAGCATTATATATTAATATTATTATTGTTACAATTTTTTTTAGTTATCAATTATTTGATTTTTTTATTTGCTGCGTAAATACATAATGCATGAATAAGAAAATTACATTCCGGCCATCTTGCATTTTTTTTTTTTTAAAAAAAAAAATATTAATATTATTTCATGGGATACCACTTTTTAAACTTAAATATAATTTTTAATATATACATTATTATTAATAATTACATTAATACATTGTACCTGGTTTATAACTCCCGCCAAAAATTAAAAAAAGACAATTACCAATGATAATGCATTTTAATGCATTAGGTTGAATAAATTAAGTAAATTAATCATAAACAAATACCTAGTTACATTTCTATTTATAATATCATTTATGTCGTTTAGCAAGTTATTTTTATTTTTACGGTTTAGGTTAAAAAGAAATTTCTGTTTTTATAATTTTTTTTTTTTTTCCTTCAATTCGAAACATCAAAGACAGGGGTTAAGGTTGAACAATGGCTAAATTACATATCCAAGGTTTCAAAATCATGATAACATTGGATGAATTTCTTTCTCTCTTAAAATATAATTCAATTGATATCCGAATCTACAGATTTTTAAAACTATATTCTTTGTTTTTTTTTAAAAAAAAAAAAAAAAATNTTTAAAAAAAAAAATATTAATATTATTTCATGGGATACCACTTTTTAAACTTAAATATAATTTTTAATATATACATTATTATTAATAATTACATTGAGTCATCAAGATTTTCACGGCACAGCCGTGAAAAAATCCACAATTCCTCGTGAAATAACTATTACATATACGTTGCCAATTTATTTATAAAAAAAAAAAAAAAAATATTTAAATAAATTTAAATAATGAATGGTTAAATGTATCATATGTAACACATGTAACACATCGGTAATACGACGAATCGGCGTATGGCTTTTCGGTAGATTCAATGATTGGTTTTTTTAAATACCTTTAAAAGATTTCTTTTGACCAAGTTTAGACTAATTTGATGAACATATACTCTTTTATAAATTTTTTTTTTGAAACAAGACTTCTTTGTTAATTCTTATTGAATTTTTTATATTTTTTTCAATAAAGTTATTATAATATCATAAGAAATTACTTATACACCGAGATGTTACCCGAGAGAAGAAACATTGTCAATAACAAAAATAATTTGTTAATTAACTTATTTTTGTATAATAAATTTTTTGTACAAATGGTGGGACAAAAATGTCGTGTTATTGTGGAAATTTAATCATTATAATATTGGATAAAGTTCGGAATTTATTTTATGTATAATAGGAAAGGGACACGAACCGCAGGTAATAACTAGTGATACGGTAATCACCGTAAATAAAGTTCAATACTAAAAATGTACCATTAGTCTAATTTAAACATGTGAGTAACATTTGAGAAGAAAATCTTAACTTGATAAAAATTAAAAATCCAAAGGTAAATCAAACATATGAAATTGAAAAATATGCAAAATAATATTTGATGACGATCGTTAAGGTTTTATTTTGCATTTTTGCATACAAATATTTTTATTTCCCTGCTTGTTATTTTCCTTGCGCGATATAAAATACTAATCATGAACCACAAGTAACATAAGTGGTAATACGGGTTACGATAAATTATATTATATTATATTATGACCAAAGTTAACAACAACCAATTTCCTTTTAGGAATTTTAGGATATTCTTCAAACCAGTTGTAATAAAAATGGGTATAATTGTGAAACATCAATAAAGGTACAATAAAATGTACAATAATTTAAATTAGAAACATCAACAATAAAAAAATCAGATTTACAATTATAAAGCATTGAAATTATTTTTGAATTTTCTGACGTTAGCATTATTTAATAATATTATTAATAGGATTTGATATGATTGTCTGATCGTTTTGAATTATAGTAATTCAATAACGTATTATGAAATCATCAATAAATAATAATAGTTAAAAATATATAAACTTTTTTTATTATTATATGTTTACATTGATGGTATGGGTATTTATATAACCATATAACCATATAACCATATAGTCACTGTCCGAGCGTATATCAAAATTATATTGTACCTGATACCGACCCGTAAAACCTGAATCCGTGCTAACGTTTTGTTTCGCAAAATAATCTGTGTAATCTGTACTGTACACAATCTTTATCTTTTGACAATCTTTAAAGATTTATCTCTAAATTCTATATATATATATTATCTTTCTATGATAGGAACATAGGAATGATAGGATACATAGGATACATAGGGTAACATCAAATATATGTATTATCAATTATATATTAAATATATATGTTGAATATATGTCCAATATTTAATTTTTTCTCTAAAAAATTTAAAAATGCAGAAAAATAAATTAAATACTTACCCAAAATGGTAAATCAACTCACGCGGGTATTATATGTTCAATTTAATTGGACAATACAATTTTGTCTTGTTTGAAAAAAATTATTTTTTTATATGGTACATATTTTAATCAATTTTTTTTTTGGTAATACCATGTATCTAATCATTTATAAATAACTCTTACTATAACAATTACCGTAATTAGTGATCAAATATCAATTTAATACGTAATGGAAAATGAATGCAAATCTCTCTTTTTATATATTATTTATATTTTTAATTTAAATTATATATCAGATATATAAAAAAAATTTTTTTTTAAATTATATATTTATTAAATACATTTTTTTTTTAATTTACATTTACATTTATATAAATGTATAAAAAAAAAAAAAGTCACGCACAACAAAAACCCAACATTCTATACATAATAATATAATAGAATTAGAGTGAACAAATGAGCTAAAATAATTTTGGATGATTAATTATTTTATTTTTCCATTAAATGTACATTTAAAAAAATTTTTTTTTATATTATAAAGATATTATAAATATTATAAAGTAAAATTTTTTTATATTAATGTTATTTTAAAATTCCCTATAAATATGGAGCTATGCTGCACTAAAAAAAATCTTTCTTCACTCAAAACAAAGAGGTCCCGTTTGTTTTCTTTTTTGTTCTTCTTAAACCAAAATAAAATATTTTTTTTTTTCTTACTTTTTTTCTTATTTATTTAAGAGATAAATCGGTTCTTTTATCTTACGAGATTTGACTTTATTAAAGAGACCAAACAAAACCTTTTCTTGATACCAAACATTTATTTTTTTAAAAAAAGCGACTTTTTAATTTTTTTTTTAAAAAAAAAAAAAAAATCTTTGTTTCCCAAAACATTAAACGTCTTTTCCAACAGTTATAAAAACTTGTCTAATTTTTTTTTTTTACGATTATATCTTTTTTTTTCGTTAACGATTTTTCAAGAAATTTTAACTTGCTTTTAAAAAATTTCAAAAAACTGTTTTTTTTTTTCAAAACACTTTATATTATTTAAAAAAATACACAAAATGAAAATGAAGAATAATATGTTCGCACGCAACCGTAAAATTCACAACCCATTCAAAAAGAGAAGTCCTTCAAATAAATCAAATGCACATGCTCTTTATCATCAAAATAATGTAATAAGTGCTTTAGGTGGAATACCACATGATTACGATTTTGATTACGGTTCAGAAACAGAAACTCCAACGGTCTATTCATCACGAAGAAGTTCAATTTATTGCGGATCTTCACCACAAAGCCCAACGACTCATGTATATTCATATTTTCCAGAACCACATCATAATTATCTTGTCGCTGCAACACATTCACATCATCATCATAATGACAAATGTTGTCATGATGCCAATTGCAAACAATATAAGCAAACAAAAAGGAATAGTTCTGATTCTTATAACCCACGAAGAAGTTTTACTGGTTTTAAACTTTGGTTACGATTAACTTGGGTAAAAGTTGGTAGAACCTTTCGTTAAGATATGATTATGATTACCGAAGATGATTATGATGATTTGATTTAATTGATTGAGGCTAGTCCTTTATCAATAATATCAAAGTTATCTATTATTGTAATTATTTCTCTGGACATTTTTTTATTGCCGAGTAAATATATTATTATAAATATTATACATAGTCAAAAAAAAATTATATTTAGTAAATAGTAAATCAGCGGGGTTTCTTGTTATAGACAATTTAATCATCATTATTATTTAGACTTATCGAAAAAACGATTATAATCGAGAAAGAAAAAAAAAACTACACAACAACAACAATTTTTATACCAATTTTATTAATTATGTAAAATGTAAATACCCTTATAAAATTCTTTTAAGTGGATTATTTAAAGTGGTTATAAAAAAAAAACAACAGGCTTGAAATATTAATGACCACTTTATTATATTTCACTCCCTTTTTTTTTATTATTTTACACTTTTTTTTTACCCTTCCCCTTTTTTAATTTCCCACTTTTTCCCCACTCTTTCCCCTTACCCTTTTCCCCTTCCCCTCTTCTTTATTTTTCTTTTTTATTTCTTTTTCTAATTTCTAATTCTTTTTATTTTTTTCTTCTTCTTTTTTTTTTTATTTTAATTTTTTTCGTTAATAATTATGTTAAAAGTATTTCCATATCCTTCTTAATGACTAATCACTAATCTCCATAATTCCTAATTTTTAATTCAATTATTTTCATCTTTTAGAAAATAGTCATTTTTTTTTATTATATTCACCTTATTCATTCATTTAATAATTTATTTTTTAAGATTTTATTTCGTTTTTTTATTTTATTTCGCGTTTTAAAAAAGACTTTCGATGACAAACACAAACACAAACACAAACACAAAATTTCGATTTAATTTTTACGATTTTTATTTTAACGTTTTTTTTTAAAAATTTATTTTCTTTCTCCTTTCGTTTTTTATTTTCAATTTTTTTTTTTAGAGTTTGTACATAAAATTAGAAATAGACGTCATTCTACATTTTTTTTTTTCTTTCTTTTTTTTTCTTTTGGATAGAAAAATTTATAATATGTATATATTTTATTTTTTATTATGAAAGCTTCGGTTCTTTTATTTTAAAATATATATATATATATATATGTTTATATTTGATTTCTTTTGTCCAAAGAAAAAAAAATACATTTTATTCATTTTTTTTTTTTCGATTTCACAAACACAAACATGAAACAACAACAATAGACTTTAATGAATTTTAAAGCTGAGCTTTCTATAATTCAACAATTAGAATTTTTTATATCACACATTTTACAATTCATTTGTATATATATAAGTTTTTAAAAAAATAGACGAAACACAACCAAACAAAAACATTTCTATAGATTTTAAAAAAAGCATTTTCACGCATTCTATACAACACCATCATCACTTTTTTCACACATTAAGCAAAAAAAAAAAAAAAAATTAAG